GGACCCCCTTATGCTTGAACATGGTGTTCGTTATGGACAATCCATGACTAGCACAGAAGTCCAACAACAGAACCCCACTCCAGTTCAGGTCAGGTGGGCCATTCCTTCCAACCACGCCTCCCAGGTCTCACTGTCATTGCCCACGTGAGCGTTGAAGTCCCCCAGAAGAACAAGGGAGTCCCCAGGAGGGGCACTCTCCAATACCTCCGTAAAGACACCAAAAAGGGTGGGTAATCTGAACTGCTGTTTGGTACACGTATGCAGAGGGAGGCAACCCTCTGGTTCACAGGGGTGAACCCCAACGTACAGGCACCAAGAAGAGGGGCAACAAGTATGCCCACTCCTGCTTGGCGCCTCTCACCAGGGGCAACTCCAGAGTGGAACATTGTCCAACCCCTCTCAAGGAGACTGGTTCCAGAGCCAGAGCCCCTGGAGCCCCCCTGCGTCGAGGTAAGTCCAACTATCTCTAGTTGGAACCTTTCAACCTCGCGCACTAACTCAGGCGCCTTCCCCACCAGAAAGGTGACGTTCCATGTCCCAAGAGCCAGCTTCTTCAGCAGAGGATCAGACATCAAGGGAAGGGACTGCCACTTTGTTACTCTGGTTAATTTTTTATTGTATTTGAGTTCTTAGGTATTCCTTGTTTGCCCTCTGCTGCCCTCCTTCGTCAGTCTCCTTCTCCTAGCTCCCTTCTAGACTCCTCTGTACACACCTGCTCACAATCTGCTGATTAGCCTGATCTTTGTTTCTCTCTCCCATATATGCACCTCCTGCTCAGTCACTGTTGCTGGTTTGTCATTTCTTCTTGTGAGGATTCCTGGTTCTGAGTACTTTCGCATTTTGTGGATTTTTGCTTCTGTTACCCTTTTTGTGATTAAATCTGTAAGTAACCACCTTCAGCTTCAGTCTCTACATTTCGGTCCTCTTCAAACCTCCACACAACCTGACAAGAAGTCTGTTTCTCAATAGTGCATATTTGTTTAAAGCACACTTATTTTCATTAAGTAAAGTTATTTCCAATGGATTAAGGACCCAGAAATTTTACTTAAGTGTGATTGTGATTGTAAAATATAGGCTTGATCATTATATACTCTTAAAGTACATAAAAAAAAGCTACTCAAGTAAATGTAACTGAGTAAATGTAGCTACTTACTACCCACCTCTGCTCTTGTTGAGCTTAGTACTTATGTAAAAGTAGCAATAATCTCAGTCTAAGATTATTATTCAACTAAGTGAAAATGACGGTAAAATACATTTACTTCTAATGTGTTTACTTAAATGACTTTCTAAACTTTACTGAAGTATAAGTAACCGATTACTTCCTGACACATCCGCACAGTTTCTGGCTAGTACACTTTTCTTTGTGTGAAATGTGTCTGAAAGTGTCTGAACAGCTCATATGAATCTTCTCTCTTATGCTGAAGGCCTATTTAACTGTTCTGGTGGAAAAATTGATTTCTTGCTACACAGAGGTTTGCAAGGGGACATCTTTTCAATCTATACTCTTTAATATCTCACATTAAAATGCACATAATCAGTAATCGTACGGCTTTAATATATCCCGACCTCTCATGATTTTTCCACAAATTAAAATGGTTTTTTAGTGCACCTGGATATCATTCTGGACTTTCGCAACTGGAAATGAAATATGATATTTTAGTTTGAATTGAAGTTCTGCTGCCTTTAACACTGATGCTTTCTTGGTGTAGACAGATTGTTTGGGAGGCAGGATATCTCCAGGTTCTGTGGACTCTCAGCTGACAGAAATCAGACCATGAGCCAGAGAGTCAACCTCTGTTTAATGTAAAAACATTGAGATTCATAGTCAAAGTTTACCTCTGAGTTTAACTGATAAGCTGTAGCATTGATTGAAACATTATCTTGCATTTGCCTTGTCATTTCTAGCCAATAATTAAGTGAACAACAAAACATTGATGCCTAGAGTTAAGAGGGACACAGAAAATATGTAGAGCAAAACCTTCTTGTAGGACTGGAGAGCAGGATGAAGATTGTGAGCTTTTTATTACCGCTGGACTTTGAGTTTTTAACCAGACTCTCATCTACCTCCACTGCAGTGATTATTGCAATCTTTAATCATCAGAAGATTGAACTGATGATGGTGATAGTGGTGATGTTGGTGATAATTATGGAGGCTATGTTGATGATGTTGGTGGTGATGATGAGCCTGCACCCTGGGTCCCTGAGCAACAACCTTTACCCCCAGATTGAGCATCCTCCTTCACCTCTCCGCTCACATAAGACCTGTTCCACATCCACCGCTACTCCTCCGCACGTCACCTTCCATGTACGTCTTCTCCGTCCTTCATCGTCAAAATACGCAGCTCAGCTACTTTTTGCTCGGTTCCGTTGGTTGCCGGCCAAGTCAAGATCTGCAATTGCAATCATACCGAAAAGGCAAAAGAACTGGAGAAAACCAGTTGTCAAATTAAAATATGGTAACGTCAGATCTGTAACTACAAAGTAGAGCATAATTCTTATATATTCCCAAAAACTAAGACTGTTTATTTAAATGATTGGATGCAAACTATTGATGCTTCAACATAGCAGGAAGCTACATCAAAATATTTATTTTGTACTCAGAGGCTTAAAACTTTAATCAAATCCAGTCAAAACTACCAAGAGTGGATCTGACAACTTCCAAACCAACTTCTTATCTCAGGCCTGGATGAAGAGATGCGTTTGGAGGCAGAGAGCAGAGAGCAAACATAGTTCATCCAAACCATGGATGATCCTAGTTATCCCTGTTACAAAAATCCACAACAAAAGGAAAAATTTGGGCAGAAACTGCACATATGCTGGATGCTAATGGGTATTTTTTTAAATATGCCATAATAAATGAAGTGTTCATTTGCACGTTTTGTTCCTATGAATTTATTATTAATATAGTGTATGCTCTCCTCTACTCCGAGAGAGATGGAGCAGAGCAGGACGGGGGGAACAGCGGAAGCTGTATGCTTTACTTTGCTCAGGCGGTCTGGAGTGCGGCGGAAAGGTGACGGAGGGTGTGGGATTTCAGGGTTAACCCCACACTGCTCCCCGGGCGCCGCACAATGTCAGCCCGCTGTTCCCCAAGGGCAATGACTTAAATGCAGGGAGTAAATCTAGATGCACTAAATGAGCTGCAGGACCTGGAGATGTGCTTCAAACAGACTTTGCATGTAAAATGTCTGGTCCAAAGCTGGGCATACACTGTATAATTTTTTGCCCTTTTTCGTGTTGATTCTCCAGTCGTGCAAGAATCTTGCGATCTGGCTGACTGTCAGCCTGGTGGTGTGTGGTGTAGTGTACAGGGGGTAACGAGTGGCGATCAGCCTCTAACGACCTCCTCCCCATCAGGAATCGTAAGGTCGGGGGAAAATCAAACATGTTTGAAATTCAGTTGGCCGTCGTAAGGTGGTCGTGGGCAAATCGCTCAGTGGGCAAACAAGGATTCTTCTTCTTCCTCTCAGAGGAAAACACAGCAGCATGGGTGTGGGTGTGTAAAATTGACAGACCGTAGTAGCCACTTTTGCTCAGCCATCTCTTTGTCCAAATACGTCGTCGCCTTTTCTTTTCGGGGCTTTCAGCACAAAATTTGACAACTGGCCAAGGCAGCGCGTTGAGCTTCATATTCCTTTTCTACTCATTTGGCCCAACGAGTCCGAGTAGCGCCATCTCACTGCGGAGCTGATTCCCACCTGATTTTTAGGTGTACAATGTGAGAACATATATCCTGAACTGTGAAGTTTTAAACCCTGTGATTTCATTGTACAGTGGTAGCTGCAGCTGTGTGCAACGATTGAAAAAATCGTACAGTGTATGCCTGGCTTTAGAGCATTAAGAGCAGACGGTTTGCATGCAAAGTCTGTTTGAATCGCATTTCGAGGTCCTGCAGCTCATCTAGAGTCTGGATGTGCTCCAGACTTTGCATGTAGCCCATCTGCTTCAGCTGCTCAAAGCATGTTCCGTGTGAATGCAGACATGGCTGAGCTTGTTGGCCATATATGAGCAGATTTTATATTCCATTCTATTCAGTTAATTTCTATAGATCTAATTCATAACACATGTTATCTCAAGGCACTTTCCAGTTCACCAGATCATCTAGACAGTTTGATTCAAAGTTTTCTATCTAAGGAAAACCAGCTGATTGCATCGACTCATCGACTCTTCAGCAATCCCTCACACTAAGCATGCTTGTAGCGACAGTGGAGAGGAAAAACTCCCCTTGAACAGGAAGAAACCTCCAGCAGAACCAGGCTCAGTATGAGCGGCCATCTGCTGAGGCTGACTGGGGTTCAAGGAGACGGAAGCAGACATAGAAAAAGAAGCATAGATACAAAAGGCAACTGTCAACCAGCTCCACAGGCGGCCCCGTCCAGGAAACACACAGCCAGGCAGATGAGCTCTAAGCCAGGTCCCGTCAGATATTATCAGACTATGATATTAATCACAGTCATTGGACTAAAGGATTTTGGCCAGAAGAAGTTTTGCTGATCATTCAGCTTGGTAATTGGATGCAGCAGAAGCAGAGAGGTGGCGATAAAACACAGTGACTTTGTCATAGTCTAACTTAGCCCTTTATGACTGCACCTTTAAATGATTGGCTCAGACCTCTTTACCTCTTTCCTTCTCTGATATGGATCACAGAATGGTGCATGTTCATCTTCTCAGTGGAAACTTTATCTACATTCTGAGTTTGCAGTTTTTCTTCTATAACATCAATCATAGATCTCCTTCCATATAGAAGGTTAAACAGTTTGATTGTCGTTAATCCTTTGAGCTTGTTCCTGTTTAGAATAGTGGGACAGTGTTTAGTTTGAAGCTCTTCCAAACCTATTGTTTATTTCTTTCCATGCGCTGGTGTGTTGGTTTAGTCGCTTTTTGTCTTTGTAGTAAGAGAAGGCAAATAAAAGATTTCTCTAGACCTAAGAGTCTGAAAGGAACAGACTAAATTTTGTTAAATTTTTTTAATGGTTGTTTTTTTCTGTTTCCTTTGTCAGAGACCAGCTTTCTCCTGGGAAACGCCCAGATCGTGGAGTGGCCTGTCGTCTACAGCAATGATGGATTCTGTAAGCTGTCTGGTTTCCACAGAGCTGAGGTGATGCAGAAGAGCAGCACATGCAGGTAAAAAGCCCATCGTTAAAAAAAACGAAAAAGCCCAGCGTTATTCACGCCCCCTGCAGGCAAACTATGCTTTCACATCCAATGCTGCTTCCTGCACTTCAGTGGGACTCAGAAAGTCCAGCAAACATTGAGCGTGAAGATTCATGCAGATTTTGTCTGTTTGAGGAAACATCAGAGCTGTGGAAGGAGGAACGGCTAAGGACCGTTCAGGAACATCTTTTAAAAAAAACATTTGAGAAAATCTCTACTTTAGATTTTCCGTCTGAAACATAAAACTCATTTAGATTGATGAGACATAGACTGACATGTTTAAATAGTTTTGATGCTCATTATGACTGCTGTATTTTGCAGTTACTAGAAACATGCGGTTCTGTTTTATGGAAAGATACATAAAAAGCAGTTTTACTAAACTATGACCTTTACAAACATGTGGATAGAACCGGCTGCAGTTCACCGTCCCCCAGCAGGCCGTTACAACAGGCTCCATCCAAGCAAAGCAATAGAAGATTTTTGGGAGCAACGGAGGCTGGAGACAAAGGTGTTCGTAAAGGGTTAACGGCAGCAGTGCAGCGACACTCATCCAGGAGGTCAGGGCGAATGGCAGAGCGTGAAGATCATCTGGAGTCAGATCTCCAGGATCTCCAGCTTCAGAGGGAACCTCAGAGGGAATGTTCGGAGGGAGCCTTCAGAGGGATCTCCGGAGGGAGCCTCAGAGGGAGCCCTCAAAGGGGGATCCAGAAAGAGCCTTCAGAGGGAGTCTTCAGAGGGAGCACTCTTAGGGAGCCCCCGGAGGGAGCCTTTGGAGGGAGCCTCAAAGGGAGCCCCAGAGGGAGCACTCAAAGGGGGATCCAGAAGGAGCCTTCAGAGGGAGCCCCAGAGGGAGCCCTCAAAGGGGGATCCAGAAGGAGCCTTCAGAGGGAGTCTTCGGAGGGAGCACTCAGAGGGAGCCCCCGGAGGGAGCCTTCGGAGGGAGCCTCAGTCAGCAGGGAGGTGGAGAGATTCCCAAGCTCAGAAGTTTCAGCCATTGTTGAGAACTAGAGGAACCGTGTCTGCTGTGATTTACCATCAACCAAAACATCACAGAGTCGCCCTTTTATCAGCAGTGAAAGTGATGAAGAGAAAAGTCTCTGCTAGACGACCATCTTACCCCCAGATTCCATATTTTCCGTTTTGGCCCTGCTCATGTACGTCGTGCTGAGTACTTGTACAGTCTTATTAGTCAATGAGAACTATTCCACATCCACCGCTACCCCTGCCTTCTCCATGTACATCTTCTTCTTCCTCCACCATCAAAATATGGAGCCGAGTTATTTTTTTCTGTCCTCCAGGCTGGCCAGGTTAAGAGCCGCGATTGCAATCACACCAAAAAGGAAAAACAACGTTGCCTTCCTATTGTTTGTTCCTATTTTGTAATATTTGAAGGTTTCCATGCCTGCATGTGTTTAGCTTAGGCTTGAAGCAAAAATAAAAATGCAGATTTAAGCCGAATACTGTGAAAGAGAGATGATCCAAGCTGTAGAGCTGGGTTGGTAGTTGAACCAGCCTGCAGAGCTGCTGTTAATGTTTCCATCTATGATCAGCAGCACCAGATGACCTTTAATCCTGAATGGATATTTCATATGAAGTTAAAAACGCTGCATTTATTCATCCTCTAAACGCGTTTTAACTATGAAACATTTTCCTCTTTATTACTTTAAAAGTTTTTATTCCCTGTTTCTGCCCTGAAAGACATGAAGTGAAAAAAAATGTTTGAATAATTTACTTCGCCTTCTGCAAATATGTGCATTATTAATCCCAAAGACTGCAGGCTTTGGCTTTCTTCTGTTCCTGACCTTTTTTTTCATTTTTTTTTTTCAGTTTTATGTACGGAGAGCTGACAGACAAGAAGACCATCGATAAAGTCAGGCAGGCGTTTGACAACTATGAGTCCGACTGCTTTGAAATCCTGCTGTACAGGAAGAACAGTGAGTTCTTCTTTTTCTCATCCTCTAAACTTTGTGTTACAGGCTTGTCTGCAGCTTGTCCTGCTTTAGATGCAGATGATGTTTAATGTTCCAAAAAATGGGGAAACAAGGAAGCAAGGAGAACATAGATTTAGAAACATTCGCCCTATTTATGTGCCTATAGATTTAAAATAGAATAGAAAATAACTTTATTGTTTACCATACACAATGATTGCAGAAATTTGCCTTTGCTTCTCACACAACAATGTAAAAATACATTAAAATACAATTATAAAGAGTTGTTTGCAGACACAGCAGCAGCAGCAGCAGCGGATTCACTTCATCAAGGGAAGCAGAGCAAAGCGAGTCACATTTACAACTTGCTCAGCTGCTTGATGGAGGACGACACTAAATAATTTCTGTCACGTTTTTCTTGGCACAAGGAAGTCTGTATCTCTGCCGTGATGGAAGGAGCTCAAAGTGACGGGAAAGTAGATGGCTATTGTTTTGTGATCTTATGACCGACCAGATGAACTGCTTCACTGTAACGCTGAGACTTGTTGATTCATTGTTGGCCTGTAATCTTACTGCCCTGTTTAACAACTCTGCTAAGCTTAGCTTTGTTTCTGGCAGTTAAATGACCAAACTAAGAAACAAGGTGAAATCTCACTGTTGCTGATTTGTCGTCGTTTCTTTGCTGCCTTGTTGTGAGGATTCCTGGTTCTCAGTTTTTGTGGATTCATATTTTTGGATTTTTGCTTCTGTTGCCCTTTTTTTTTTAATTAAATCTGCAAATAACCAGCTTCAGTCTCTGCATTTGGGTCCTGTCAAACCTCCACCACACTTGACATTGGGTTTCTGTGTTGGATCAGAACATATTGGTACTCCCTAGTAGTGTTGTCAAAAGTATCGATACTGAAATGTTGTATCCGGATACAATACTCGTTTTTAAAAGTGTCGATACAGTGCTACCACCAGTGGCACCTAAGCAGTCATTCATCTAAAGTGCAGAATAGAGGAAAATGCACTTTCAGAAAACTGTGTGATTGAATAATTCTGTGCACTTTTCAGTTTTAGACTTTTTTTTTGTAAGAGGTGCAGCTGCTGAGAATTATTTTTGTTTCTTAACCGGTTTGGCCAGTGCTATTGTTATGTGAGCAAAGCATAGCCAAGGAAGTAACACTTAATTTAAATTTAATAAGTTTTTTTATCAAGCTTGCTTAATATTCTGCACAGCATACAACCTTTATTGTGTTTATTTATTGTATTTTATTTATTAATGAAAATATTTCTGTAGAATTTTGGAGTCTTTGTTGTTTTCCTTGTGGTATCGAAAATGGTATTGAGTATCGAATATTTCCCTTAGTATCGGTATCGAGTTGAAAAGTTTAGTATCGGGACAACCCTACTCCCTAGTAGACCGGTCACAAGGTAAACAATCCGTGCGCTACAGCATCGAACAACGATGATGTTCTCATATTCAGGACTTTTAAAATATAGATAAATTCATCACTTTCACACACACTGGCTGTTTCATAGCATCAGTAGATTACTTTAACTTAGAATAAAAAAAACAGACACATCACATTGCATAGTCATTGTGATGTCAATGAAGTCTATAAATCATGTAATATCACATATTATATAAATCCCTCACAATAAAATGAATGTGTTAATGAAGCAGAATAATACAGATGAGCCAAATGTGCTAAATTGATGATGATCATGTAATATACATGGATTGAGGACATTGTTATGGTAATTATATATAATTTTAAGGTTTTACATAAAGACTGAATTACAAGCACTTGTCTGTTAATGTTGTAGTATTTTTCTATTTGCAGAATATGCATGAATGATGCGATATACTTTAATACTGTCTGTGCATTAGCCTTCAAATCTGATAGATTTACAATAAGCTAAATTAATGAACCAATGTTTTATCTCCAGAGCTTCAGTTTCTACACTAGCAAAAGCACATAAATTGGTAAAATAACAGGAAACATCAAGATCATATACCGTATTGCTTTTTGCTCATAATTATAAGAATCTGGTCATTTGGAAAAACTATATATATAAGTATGTATGCACACACTGACGCTGACAGTGAAATTACCTGTGGAACGTCTTCTGACAGCAAACTGCTTGTTTTTGCAGCGAAATGCTGCACATGTTGGCATTTTTACTGCCTGTCTCTGTGGGAGTGGGGAGTACCAATATGGCGGCCGGTGGCTTCACTTTTTTCATGCAATCAGGAATGCAGTGAATAGAGATCAGTGACTGCCACCATGTAAAGAAGCCATCTTAGTCGACTGATGGCATGAAGAAAAAAGGCCACAGATGCTGAACTTCATGTAATACTTCATGCAATTAAAGAAAGAAAACTTTAAAAAAACTAATAGTTGAGTTTGATAACAACTGAGATACATCCCTGAGTGTAGAGAAGGATTAGCTTGTGGGGGACATAGGTTCCAGTATGTGGGAACCTGGTTAGGGACAAGTGTGCTTGGAAGGCTGATCTCAGGCCTCAGTCTCAGTTTGGGCTGAGCCAAATCTGTTTGCACGTCTCAGTATTTGCGCAGCAATCTTTGTGAATCACAGCAGTGCAGCCATTTATTATATTATAATTATTCATTCTAAATGTGGGCGTGTTTTCTCTTGGACTGAAGTTTGGGCTGTCAGCTCAATAATTTCCTTTTAAGCACGAGAAAATGTGACCTCTTCACTGTTTCAATGGATTCAGACCCATCCATGATTCCTGGTTTGTGCTCCTTTGGTCTCATATCAGAGAAGGAGAAAGATCCCTCATTATGACCCCTCCACCACCATACCTCTGGGTTTATTGGGAGTTTGAATACCATGTTTTTAGGTTGTCCTTCGGACCATGTGTTTGTCCCAACAAACAGCTTCACTACCTGAACTTTTTACTGCCCTTATGCCTAAAAACCAATCTGTCAACATCACTTCTGCTTTGGCTCTATTTTGAAAGTCAAACTAAATAATGATGGACTTTAAATCCTTTAATTCCTCTCCTGCTGTTTGGTTGCAGGAAGTCCGGTCTGGTTCTACATGCAGGTAGCTCCTATCAGGAATGAGAATGACAAAGTGGTTCTGTTCCTCTGCACCTTTAAAGACATAACCCTCTTCAAGCAGCCCATTGAAGATGAAACCACCAAAGGTAAGTGTTCTTATTGCTGCCTCCGTATGAACTAGCATAGGAAGCTGAAAGGATGCCTGCACGGATAGCCGGACCTCGGAGAGCTAGAACACAGAAATGATGCCGTTCTGGAGTTTGAACGCTGGAAGCATTTAGTCCAGAGATCAGGGAGCTTTACTGTAGAAATAAAGACTAGATGTTGTTCTTTGGATCCACTGTTAGGCCTCGTTCAGCGGACAGCTGGGTTTATTCTGGATTTTGTGCAGCAGACATGTCTGATGGAGGCTGAACCAAACCTCTGATGTGTGACTGTTTAATCAGCTCAGCAGCCATGAAGGCCTGCATATGATACTCATTGATATTTTGCAGTTTTCTTTGTGCCACAGCCTATCAGGGCCCGCCTTCTGTCAGTTCCACAAAGCTAACAGTGTAATGGTGTTCCTGCTGCGGTTCTCGCTCTCATTAGTCTTAGGTGTTTCTGTTTGCTGGTGTTTCCTTCTTGCATATTCCTCCAACAGCTTTCACCTCTAACTACGTGATGCTTTAAATCCTCATTCAACATATCTAACGTTGGCCACAGTAAAAACTTTCAGGTGAAAAGTAGCTTTGCTGCTGGTGTGATCAGTGACAGGAAGCTCTGCTTTCCACTAGATTAGTTCGGAACAACTTAAAGGTGATAACAAATCTGTAGGAATGGGATTATACAGAGCAGAATGGAAACACCTTTACTGTCCCACAGCTGGGAAATTCAGGCGTGACAGGAAAAACCTGCAGGTACAACAATAGACTAACTTTTTTTTTTGATTCAGGTTAAAAATGATTATTTTGTATCCTTTATCCAGGGCTTTGGGCCTGATGGTTTATTCAAAAACAGATCATCTAGTCTGATTGATTTAAAGTTTCTATCTAAGGAAAATCCGCTGATGCGTCAACTTTCCAGGTCTCCTGGATGAGCAGGTAGACAGTCGCTTGGCTTGTCTGCAGCTGTGGTTAAGTGAAGGCAGGTAAACATGAACTGACCTAAAATGAGACACAAAAGAACTTCACTGACAAAGAAAACAGAAATACATTTAAATGCAAAATACACAGCATAAAAATAAAGTTTGAAACTAGAAATATAAGAACGACCTTATAAAGGTGCTTTTGGACCAAACACAGGTTTCCGGGCAGGAGAAACAATTTTCATGTGATCCCTAAAGGGCGGCTCTGGAGAGCTGCACTGCGGAGCGAGGCAAAGACGCTAGAGATGGCCATTCCAGTGAGGCGAATGATGTGTTTTTGGCAAATTCAGTGCAGGAAGAAGAACATCAAGCAAAAATGTATATATAAAAATGTTAGTTTATATTGAGATAGCAAAGAGAGGAGTGGATGAGGCTCTGGGACCTGCAGGGAAGCAGCAGTGGAGGCAAGCTTTTTATAATGAAAATGGAATATAACCAAAATATGCTGAATTAGGAAAACACTCTTAGAGGCTTTTAACAAATAATTTTTGTCCTCAAGGGTGAGCCCCGGCCAGCCGCCTCTTCTTGCTGCCCAGCAGGCCTCTCTAATCTACCGCTGTTCGATCTGCCGTTCTGGTTCTTGGCTCAGGGGGGAGGAGACAGCCGGTTGGCCACTCTTTCTGCCAGGAGTTTTTCTCTGATTTCCCTGCTGCTCCTTTCTGAGCTCCAGCATTCCACCTAACCTTCCCTTAAGCTCAGAAAGTGAACATTTTCCAGCCACTCCTGGACTCCCCAAAGCAGGAGCATCCCTCTGGGATCCACTGGACCCAGCTTGGCTCTGCCTCGTATTAAATGCAGAACCAACATTCACTCTATAAAACTCTTATCTACGATGCTGAGGGGACACCGATAACCAGCAGACTGAACGATGCGATTGGAGCCTTTTGTCCGCCATGAAATCTGCCTGCTGTGCTAACTGCTGTTTATGTGAATACAGCAACACCTTAGAGAACATAAACAGGAAACAGTCTGAAAAATGCCTGAAACACACGGAGAAGGGACACAGATATCTTTAGGTCATTCTGGGTTAGGCTAACCTTAAATGTTCTTTTTAACAAACCAGGGGTCGCCATGGAGATATGTTGTAATGCTGGTCTGTGGCCCAGTTTGCAAAGTGAACAGACTAGAATAAACTGAACCCTAATTGAACTGGAGCTCCGGATGGTCAAAAGCATTTGTACAGCCCTGACCATGACCCGCTCACCACCATGCTTGACTGCTGGAAACTCATACTTGCACTGTACTACTCTACTGGTTAAGCCACTCCATGCTTGACACCATCTGAACCAAAATAGGTTAATCTTTGTCCAATGAGACCAAAGAACGTGGTTCCGTGAACCAACATCAACCAGTATAATTCAGCCAGACTCCTTTATGTGTGCGTCATCCGTCCCCCACACATAGAAGCCAGGGGTAATGCCTATTTGCCACTCCGCCCCAGGGCCAGACTGACATTCCTCCTCTGTTGTCTGCATAGCGAGGCACGGACATATGCCATACCCAAACAGTGTGGGTTCATTGCAGGTGTTTTCACACAAATAGGCTGCTAAAGGTTGTGTTTTAAAGCCTCAACTTTTGTTTGCAGGCCTGTGTGATTCTCAGTGTGGAAGACGTTTAATGGGTTAAATGAAGGAAGAAAATTTCCCCACTGTGGTACAACAAACAGATCTTTCCTTCTTCAGGCCAGTTTGATGCTTTGGGCTTTGGTCTGAGCACTGATGGGCGCCCCCTACAGCCAGGTTTGGGTCTCTTATCAAAGGTACTATTGAGCATGTGCACTCGGCTCCTTTGGTCAACCATGTCGAGGCGCACTCTCATTGGAAAGGTCCTATTAAACTGCTAAATGGTCTCGGCCAACGCGCTAAAGCTCAGCTCCAGTGTTTCTGCTTATCAGATTCAAATATTTAGAGCAAAGGTCATGGATTAGCGAACCGCGGTCCGGATCCGGACCAAACCTCATTTAAAACATTTATAAATTACCGCATGTTTTCCGACGGCAGTGTCTAACTTCTCTTGCGCCGCTTCTCCTGTTAATACGGTAAAGCCCTCCAGAGCGTCCGGCTCCAGGCTACATGTGATCCAAATGAGCCAATGAGCTGCTTTCAGTCTGGGTTGCTGCTGCTGCTACTTTTAGACACAGCACGAAAACCTGTGGCAAGCCGGGCGATGGGAAAGAAGGAGAAGAAGATGAGAAAAAGAAAGCAGAGAAAGTGTGGACTGCTGGAAGAACTGCGGTGAACTGGTGAAAGAAAAGTGAAATGGTGCTCAAAGATGACCCTGAACATTTAGAGGATGTTTGTCTGAACCTGCTGCTGTGAAGCAGGATTCTCCACCATGAACAGAATTAAAAATAAATATGGATCCAGGCTCAAAATGAGCTCCTTGATATGTGCTTGAGAATGGCTTTGTCTCCATTCAAACCCAGGTTTAAAGCCATGCAGGGCAGCCTAAAGCCCACTGCGAACATTAAGACAGAAAAAAGAAAAAACAAAAACAAACGCTCAGTTCAGGTGTTTTATAAAGATGTGAATCAGGAAATTATCTATATACCAAACTGAACGATTGTTAATCTCTAATTAAAAACCTATTTAGATTTTAAAATGGAAAAACATTCTACTTTTTATATTTTTTAGTTAAAAAGTCGATGCATAACATGTATAACATGTATGCATAAACAACTCATTTTATTTTAGTGTTAATTTCTGTTTAAATAAACAGCTGATGTTTTAGCATCCAGGTTTCTGTCCTCCTCTTCCTGTAACCTCTAGCAGCGCGTGGAGGAAGAAAGCTGTGATGTTTGGCTGTGATGCATGAACCTCTGAGACTGTCAGGTTCAGTTTGGTTGGACTGTGGTTCTGTCAGGAATCTCCGGAGATGTGGGCGGATTGTTGTTCTCTGTGTCAGCATGTCTCCCTAAGGAACTGTCCTGTCTTCTTCTAACTGACAGGCCGCCCCCCCTCCTACAGAAACACTGATCAGAAACCTGAGGTTGATCTCAGATCAGTGGGTTTTTGGGATAAAAGAGCAACTTCAGCCAATATCAACAATTATTGATCAGTGTTACTTTTTTGGCAACAAAGGTCTGGTGTACACATGACCTTTAACCTTTTAAAAAAGCCAGTCCTTGCTCTTTTTGGCATCAAGACAATTATTCTTATTGCCACATTGCCAGACAGGACACTGTTAAAAAAATAAACATAAAAAAATTAATAAAAAAGCCAGTCCTACAACGTAGCTTGGTTCGGCCTAGAGAGTCTAGTTCCTTTCCTCTGCCTATATCTCCCAGAATGCCAGTGTTGCAAAGGAGCAAAAATGGACCTGATCCTGGTGAGCGTCCGATCTGGTTCTGTGGAGGACGAGAGCAAGGAGAGGTTAGAGGAGACTCTATGAGCTTAGTTCACTAACAGAGGTTGACCTGTTTTACCACTGAGAGAGCGGACCATCAATCCCATCAATCCTGCCACCCTGTAATTAAGCAAAAACACAAAGACCTAACAGGCGTAGTTCAATTCAATTCAGGTTATTTCTATAACGCCAATTCACAACACAAGTCATCTAAAGGCACTTTACAGTTCAACCAGATAACACAGTCAGATTGATTCAAAGTTTTCTATCTAAGGAAAACCAGTTGATTGCATCGACTCATTGACTCAAATACAATCCCTCACACTACGCATGGTTGTAGTGACAGTGGAGAGAAAAAAAACTCAAATTTAACAGGAAGAAACCTCCAGCAGAACCAGGCTCAGTGAGAGGGTTCATCTTCTGAGGCCGACTGGGGTTCAAGGAGACAGAAGCAGAGATACAAAAAGCAGCTGCAAAAGGCGGCCCCGTCCAGGAAACACACAGCCAGGCAGACGAGCTCCGAGCCAGCTCCCATGTCAGAGGATGAAGAGAGCACATCCAGTCAGTCACGGTCAGAGAAACAGGACTGCACAGGAAAACAGGCTGATCTCCAGCATCTATAAACAAGGGTGTTGATGGCAGCAGCACAGCTGATATTTCTCTGCAGGATGGAGT